GTTGTATCTTACTTTTCTTGGACAAAACAACACAAACATACGACATATAGCGGAAGACATTAGTACAGAAGCATTTAATATTATAAGATATACTTTATGTATATTGTACTTTATGTATATTTTATTGAGGCATTTCATGCAATATTTAATATTACAAGCACATACGTATACGTATATGTATATGTTTGTTTGTGTGCGCGCGCGCTCGCACAAGTGTCTATAAGTATATACGCACAAGTTACACACTCATATAAAACTAACATTTTATAATTTTTCGCTGAAGCGCATTGCACGGGGAAGCAACAGAAGCATATTACATAGCACATATAGAAGCATATTACATAAAATATTATATAGAAGCATATGACATACAAGCATAATATTAAAAAAAAAGGAAGATAGTTGCAGAACATGTTCTGCTTAAACGAACAAGTTTTTAAAATAAGAATGCTGCACTGGAAATTAGTATTTTCAATTGCCACGATTTTTCAATACAAGATATGTTCAAAATGACAAAAAATACAAGAAAAAAATAATACCATGTTTCAAGGACATTGATTCTATAATAAACATTTTTTTACACATAACTAAAATGATTATTTGAGAGACATGAATGGATTACTTCAATTTTGCACTGATTATATGAGAAATGTAATATCATATAACATTGTGCTGAAATGTCGTACTTTGTATACAATACATCATTCATTTTTTATTTTATGATTCTTTTAGTAACAATGAAATTATTATATTACAAACTATATAGACACTACTCCTTGGGTGCAGTTCAGAACATAGCTGACCCGGGAACGTCCACAGTTCTTTCGGGGCGCAACATGAAAGGCTAGAGGTGCAGACGCCAACGGATGAGAGAAGGGGATCCAACAGGATTTTCTCTCACATATTTAAAAAAAAAATTATAAAAAAAAGGCATGGTTGGCGGACCAATAAGAGAATTAATTTTTTTGTAAGTAGAGAAACAAATTATGACTCTGGATCATCCATTGCATTCAGAACTGCACCCAGAGATAAGTATACAAAGTATTTTGAAATGTAGTGTACATTGCTACTAATCAGAAAGGATTAATACAACCCAGGCAGCAGGGTGACAAATGTCTTTACAATGTCTGTAACGTCAATAAGATACGATTAAAACGTTATTTGACGTTATTCAGTTATTTTGCAAAGTATTTGAAAAATCGTGACGTTTATTGTACTGAAACATTCTGTTAACAATATGGAGTTCATTATATTTAATTAAAATATGCAGGTATAATTAGTTTCTAAGAAAAAAGTAATGGAAGGAAAAAGTAATAGAAAAAATGTGTTTGTAAAAGTTTACTTCCAACGTTGTAATCGTGAAAAAACTTTATTTATTGTAGCTTTTTGAGATGGACTTGAAAATGAGTTCAGTGTCTATCTTCGTTACAAACATACGTTCATATTAAAACCCATACTATAAATAATAATTTGCCTGTTACTTATGTTCGATATTAAGATAAAAATTATCTCAATTACCTTCGAATTCTTAAATAATATTAATATTACGACATGTTATATTTTAATATATAAATTATGACATGTCCATAAGCAAAATAGCTTCTTGGACGTGACACTGATAATATTATAATAATGGAAAACATACCTGTGGAGCACATTTCAAATTTGTAGTCAACATTTCGAGGAAAATCTTCTGGATGGTTGACATATCCTTTGTCGCATCTTCCCATTTGTTCCCACGTCGCAGTCTGTTGATTTCTTGACGTTGGTTGTAAATAATCCGTTTCTTCTTATGTAGCATCTTCTGTTGTGTCCTCAATTTTCTTCTCAGCATGCGATGATCTCTTCTTTCCGGTCGATTGTCCTCTTCACCCATGACAATGGGCAGTGGCACAAAATCAGAATTGTCCGGAACATTTTCCACTAAATTCACATGCTCATCAAAATTTACGTTTACAACTACGTTTACAACTACGTTTACGTTTACAACATTATCATTAACATGCTCAACAATGTCTAAAGGCAAATTTAAATTTGGTACTGCATTATCGGTTAAGCGTCGGCTACGCCCATAAGGCAGTACCATATCTTCAGAAAAATGTTCCGTACAAATTCTTAATTTCGCCAATGTTTCCTTAGGTGCACCTGTAATATAACAGCTTATATTTAGTATTATTGTAGGAAAACTTCCATAATTATAAAGGAAGAAAAGAATTAACTGCACTTGT